CTCAGGGTCCTGGGATCGAGTCCCACATCGGGCTCTCTGCTCAGCGGGGAGCCTGCTTCCCTCTCTCTCTCTCTCTCTCTGCCTGCCTCTCTGTCTGCTTGTGATCTCTCTCTGTCAAATAAATAAATAAAATCTAAAAAAAAAAAAAAAAAAACTGTTCTGTAAAACTTTCCATTGACCTTTAAAGCACCTTCTTATTTTTTTAAGGATTTTATTTATTTATGTGACACAGAGAGAGGGAGCACAAGCCGGGGGGAGTGGCAGGCAGAGGGAGAGGGAGAAGCAGGTTCCCCACCAAGCAGGGAGCCTGATGTGAGGCTTGATCCTAGGACCCTGGGATCATGACCTGAGCCAGAGGCAGACGCTTAACCAACTGAGGCGCCTGTGAAGCACCTTCTTTTATTATTTTACTTCGCAGTGATCTTGAGCTGACTTTTATTTTCTCCATGGTACAGGGTGGGTCTGTGTGTTGGTGTTTCTGATATATTAGAAATATTGGAGGCAAAAAATATAAGGAGATAGTTGACTTATTTTCATTTTGTTTCAGATAAATTTTTAAGGCCATTGTAATTTATATAATTGCACTCCAATTTCCTTTAATAATTGTGTTCTAGGTGTTTTTTCCATCTGTAATCGGTGCTATCCATTTAATTGCCTACTTTTGCACCATTCACACATTGTGTAATTTACTTTTTGTATTTTTATACTCCGCCTCTGACAACAGAGAATTGTTTTTTTATTACTAAATGTTCCTGTGAGGGGTGACTGAGTGGCTCAGTCGGTTAAGCATTTGCCTCTGGCTCTGGTCATGATCCCGAAATCCTGGGATCAAGCCCTGCCTCGGGCTCCCTGCACAGTGGGAAGCCTGCCTCTCCCTCTCCCTCCACGTGCCACTTCCCCCTGCTTGTGTTTTCTCTCTCTCTCTCTCTCTCTCTGTGTCAAATAAATAAAACCTTAAAAAAAAAAAGTGTTGTTGTGAACCAGGCTTTATCCACAGGTGAGACCTTTTCAGCCCATGTTTGAGATACCTTCTTTTTTTCCTTTGGGTCTTTGGAAGCAGTATCTTCCAAAAGTAGATCAAATTGTGTTTAGTCATTAGCATCCCTGTCAAGTTAGGGAAATAACGGAAGCAGTTTCAGTCCTCGGTATCTGTTTGAATATTTCCTCTACAGAAGAGGTGTTCTTTACCTGTCAGAGACACTGGGGATCTGTGTTCACTTAGATTTGGATCTAAGACTTTTAAACTTTTCCCGTCTTTCCCTTTCTAGCGAGGACTCCGAAGAAAAAGATGTGAAAACCAAGAAGGACGATTCTCACTCAGCAGGTAGTAAACAGTTTTTAATGTAATACGTCATTGATCTGTGTCTTCGTTCATTGGACGTTTTAATAAGTGGTTTCATCATAATGCCGGGCACTGCTGTTAATACTGGCACGACGAAGCGCTTTCTATCTTTGAAGAGCAAAGAACTTTGAAGTGCTGGCGGCTTACTGCAATCTTCTGTAAGGGTTTTTCTGAGCAGGCTTACACGCCCTGTCCCACCCCAGGATTTCTGATTTAGTAGGTCTCAGTGGGACACTGGGGCTTTATTGTTTAAAAATATTTACAGATGATTCTCCTGCATAATTAACGTTAAAAACCATTTAAGTGGGGCGCCTGGGTGGCTAAGATGGTTGGGCGTCTGCCTTTGGCTTGGGTCATGATCTCCAGGTCCTGGGATCGAGCCCCATGGTGGGCTCCCAGCTCAGTGGGAAGTCTGCTTCTGCTTCTCCCTCTCCCTCTGCCTCTCCCCCTGCTTGTGCTCTCTCTCTCCATCTCTGTCTCTGTATCTCTCTCAAATGAATAAATAAAATCTTAAAAAAAAAATTTATGTGAACCGTTAACAGATATCAAACTAAACTGATTTAAAAGAGCATATAAAATACAAAGTGATGTAACACTCTAAAGTGGGGAGGGGGTGGAGATGAACTCTGGGGTAAAGAGCAAGCAAAGGCTAGTTTCACCCTTCCCTGTTCCAGCTGGCAAGTAGTCCTTCGAAACAGTAGCCGCAGAGAAAGCTTTCTTGGTAAGAATTTAAACTCAAAAGAATTAATAGAGACTCCATGGCAAATAAAATGTTAAATCCTGATTGCCTGTTGGCATTTCTGTTTCTGAATTTAATTCTTCTCAGTACTGAGGGTTTATTTTAGTTTTGACCTGCACTCCCCTGCTTTTGTGTCCTGCGTCCCCCTTTAAATGAGATCACTGTTAATGAGCCGATACATGGAGGGGTAGACAGAGTTCCACTGAATTCACTCCACTGAGCTGTTTGCTTTCATTCCTTTTCTAGCCTGTTATCTGCCTGCCTAAATTGTAAAGAAATGTGTTTTGTAACTTAGAATAGTATCATTGGAAGACAGTCTTCCCCTCTTCTATTTAAAAATATTTTTCTAGGGACGCCTGGGTGGCTCAGGGGATTAAAGCCTCTGCCTTCAGCTCAGGTCATGATCCCAGGGTCCTGGGATCGAGCCCCACATCGGGCTCTCTGCTTGGCAGGGAGCCTGCTTCCCCCTCTCTCTCTGCCTGCTTCTCTGCCTACTTGTGATCTCTGTCTGTCAAATAAATAAATAAAATCTTTAAAATAAATAAAAATAAAAATAAAAATATTTTTCTAGGGGCACCTGGGTGGCTCCGCTAATTAAGCCTTCAACTCGGGTCATGATCTCAGGGTCTTGAGATCAGGGTCCCCGAGTCTGGGTGGAGCCTGCTTTAGATCGCCTCTCTGCCCTTCCCCGCCTCCACCCACCCCCGTGCCCCCCGTCTGCCCCACCCCCACTCGTGCATTCTCTCTCTCCAAAAATTCTGGCTTTAGTTTCTAAAAACTGTGAATATAGATTGAAATGTAATTGATAATTTTAGGGCAACACAGTGATACAAGTTTAAAATACATTGCAGGAAGCATATATTCACACCTAAATTCAGCTTTATGACTACTTAAAACTCCATGCCTACGCTATTTTTCTGTGCAGTAATGAGGACATAATCTTTCTCAAGTTCATTCTTTGTATTTTAGCTCCTCTTTTGTATATTTTGTAGGCATTTTTAAGGATAGACTTTACCCCATTTGAATGAAATAAAGCTGCAGGTTCTGTCTCATACTGGCTTTTCTAGTCAGCCTTCCGATAAACGCACAACTCCTTGATCGCTGCGTTGTAACTTTGATATTACAGAGGACAGCGAAGATGAAAAAGAAGATCATAAAAATGTACGTCAGCAACGGCAGGCAGCCTCTAAAGCAGCTTCCAAGCAGAGAGAAATGCTCATGGAAGATGTAGGCAGCGAAGAAGAACAAGAGGAAGAGGACGAGACGCCATTCCAGGAGAGTACGTGCCGCTGGCTTGGTACTTGGGTGGGGACCAGAGTTCGTGACCGTGACCTTGATTACTTCTGCGTTCTGGTGGCTGCCAAACGTTACAGCCAGTCCCTTAAATTCGATATTTGCTGTCAGAAGAGATGGCTCTTTTTGATACTGGTTGATATTTTAAGAGGCTCAGGGATTCTCTTGATTTTGATGTCCATCGTTGGGACTCAACTACTAAACCAGCAATCGTTAGAATAACAGTTATATGGCGGGTGTTGTGATGAAGATTTGTCTTTTGGCTTCGGAGCCAAAGGGGTAGACCTCCCTCCCCAGCAACAACAACAAAAAAGTGTTAATAGTAGAATTTAGGTGTTTCACACGTTACTTGGATTAATAAATTGTATGATTTTTGCTTTGTCTTTAGCTTTCTCGTTTCATTTATTCATACTTGGACCAAAGACACTAAATTGGTTCTGTTTGATTTCCCTGGTCTCCCCAGTAATGTAGGGGAATGAGGGAATTACCAAAAGTTGTTTGATGAAAAAAAACGTTCGGTGATATCTTCGGTTTTTATTCATATTAAGTTTTATCTCTCGCTGTTTTCAACCTTGACTCTTTAAACAAGTCAGTTATGCAGCTTGTGTGTGTGTGTTTGTGTGTGTGTGTGTGTGCACGCGTGCATGTGCGCTAAGCCCCGCCCTACATGTGGGGCTGGTGAGGACTCCAGCCCGACCGGCGACCCAGCTGCCCCCAGACTCCGAGAGTGTTTGACTCCCAGATCCCATCCTCCCGTCATGCTTAGCGCTGTCTCCCTTCATTCCCTTGGAAGGATGTATACATTAAGTTGGACGTTGAACTTCTTCTTTCCTCTCAGAAGATTCCGGCAGTGATGAAGATTTCCTAATGGAAGATGATGACGATAGTGACTATGGCAGTTCAAAAAAGAAAAACAAAAAGATGGTCAAGAAGTCCAAACCTGAGAGAAAAGAAAAGAAAATGCCCAAACCCCGGCTAAAGGCCACAGGTGAGTTGTCTACAAGTACAGTTAAATGGCTGCTTTGAAAAATTTCAAGGAGCAGTAAACTTTCTCTACAGAAATCCTTCATTAGGCCTTGGCATGGACCACACGCCTCACAAGAATAAGAATTCTGCGGGGATCCCATCTTCCACACTGGGAGGGATCTCTTACTTGTTAGGAAGGACGGTGGCCCCTGCAAGAGAGGGGACGGTACGGCACAGGGTTTGCAGCGACCCATTGCCCGGCGGTAGAAACACACCAATAGTAGAGCTGTGCCTGTGCTTTTTCCTGCCCATATCACAACCCCAGCAACTAGGAAAGACCCGAAATGGGGAAAATGCACACCCGTAATCACAGATTTCAGGCCTCGGATCTGATCCTTAACCCCATCCTTTGTGCTAGAATAAAACCACACTTAGCAGCGTGGATTCATTTTCTGGGAGCTGTTGTGAGTGCTGCCAGTCTCCTAGTCACAGCTTGAAGTCAGAAGGCTAGATTTGCTTTGTTTTTTTTCTGACAGATAGAACTGGTGATTTTTTACGTTTTTCACTCATTACTTCTTACTGCTGGGAATCACGGGCTTGTCCGAAGTGACTTGAGGAGGGCACCTGACTGGCTCAGTGGTAGAGCATGCGACTCTCGATCTCGGTTGGGAGTTCGAGCCCCGTGTTGGGCATAGAGTTTACTTTAAAAATAAAAAAATAAGTAAATGACACATCCTTGGAAGAAAAGTTTTGAAAAATCTGATGACTTCAGTTTCTACTCATGTTGTTGTATCCATGCTTTTTGACCCACCTTTTTTTTTTTGGACCCACTTGTTAAACCTGAGTTTTATCATAAACAACCTGTGTTCACAAACCACTAAGGATAGTATGCTGTTTCTGTAGCATCCTGTTTCTTTATTATAAACATCACTGCTAACACAGCACCATAGTGTTGGCAAGAGTGATTGGGAACCAGTGCCCACCTTGATTTGTCTTCAGTTGGGCTGTGATCCTTATAGATTTCTTTTTTTTTTTTTTTTAAGATTTTATTTATTTATTTGACAGAGAGAGAGAGAGAAAGATCACAAGTAGGCATAAAAGCAGGCGGGGGTGGGGTGGGGAGCAGGCTCCCTTCCGAGCAGAGAGCCCGATGTGGGGCTTGATCCCAGGACCCAGAGATCATGACCTGAGCCGAAGGCAGAGGCTTAACCCACTGAACCACCCAGGTGCCCCTGTACATTTAGTTCTTAAAGTTTTGTTTTGTAGCCGATTTTTTTTTTAAGATCTTTTCTTCTCTTCCCCATGTTGGTATTTTTCTTCTTCCAGTGACGCCAAGCCCTGTGAAAGGCAAAGGGAAGGTGGGGCGCCCCACAGCTTCAAAGGCATCAAAGGAAAAGACTCCTTCTCCCAAAGAAGAAGATGAGGAACCAGAGAGCCCTCCAGAGAAGAAGCCCTCGGCAAGCCCTCCACCTGAGAAATCAGGGGACGAAGGGTCCGAAGATGAAGCCCAGTCTGGGGAGGATTAAAAAAGTGATGATGGTTTGGGGAGAGATTTTATTAAAAAAAAAAGAGAAAAAAAAAAAAAGAAAAAAGAAAAAGGGGGGAAAAAAAAGAAAACCTACTTAAGATAGAACATGGTTTTGGCTATGGCTTGACTCATGGGCTTTCAGTGCTTTTTTCCTTTTCTTGAAAATAACATTCTCTCTCTCTTTTTTTAAGAAAACCATTGTAAGTTTAATTTACCTTTTTGTCTATTGGTCCTCTCTTCGCCATCACCCGTCTTTCCCACCCCTTCCCAATGAAAGCCATGTCAGAATAATCACTGGATTGACTGCTTCACCTTTTTATTTTTAACGGAAGGCATACCACAGTTGGAAAGCAATAAGATTTGAGATGAACACTACGGAAATTTTGCTTTTTTGCTAAATGGTAGAAAATGAACCGTAATCAAAAAAAACATAGAAGGGTTTTAGTTAAAAATGATTGCTTCTCTCTCTACCTGGACTTAAAAAAAATCAGCTGTCATCTAATACAAGTTTATATGTCTATATACATAAGTATAGATGTCTAAAAAAATCATGATGTTAAACTTCCCACTGATGGGGCAGGTAGGACATAAAGATGAATTCTGAATTGTTACTAAAAGTATTCCTATTTTTTACCTTGGGGGCAAGGCAGGGCATGGTGTTACCTGACCTTGTTTGAGGGTGTGGTTTTTTGTTTTTTGGGTTTTTTTTGTAAATTTCATCACTTGTTATCTTAAAGAGACCCGGAGCCAGTAATCCTTTTATCCTGCTACAGTCTTTCAGGAACTTTAAAAGAACAAAAAAAAAAAAAAAAAAAAAAAAAGGCCAGGGCCACCAAAACTTAAATCAGTCTTGATTTCCTATTTCATTCTCTTAATGGTTCATGTTTTTAAGTATATATGTATCTATTCTGTTTCTTGGATAAAATTACCAAGGATCAAAAAAAAAAAAAAAAAAAGAAAAGAAAAAAACCTTTAGGATTTAAACAGCAAGATCTATACACCAGAGTGGATTTCTTCTTAACTGACAATGTTTAGGTTTTAAGCAAATAAAGTACCAATTAATGTGAAACTCAATCACAAAGACTTGAGATTTTTCCTTTATGAAAACAGAAAATTGAAATTCTTTTATGCCAAAAATGTGCATTCCGATCCCATGAACCATGCTCTGTTTTTATTTGGGGATAGAACATTTTTCTTTTCACATACCTATCCTCCCACTTCTTTGTAGACACATGCAGTGCATCTCAGCTTCCTGCTCCTGCCTAGGGTCCCACTGCATACCCCATCCCCAGAGGCCGCCAGCTCTGCTCTGGGACATGATTTCCCCCAGCTCTCTCCTTTGCTCCCTTCACGTTCTGTGCTTGACTAAGAGGGAGTGTGGTAAATGGCCACTCCCACACCCTTCAGTTTGCTTTTGTCCCTCTCCTTGTGCCCCTGCTTTCCTGCTCGCCTTGCTTAAAGCAGAAGTTCCAGAGGCTCCAGGCCAGGGAGACATGTAGTTAGGAGCCCATGTGCTGCTGAGAACAGACTGTCCATGCCTTATGAAAGTAATCGGGAGATAGTTCTGTAGGTTTGATCCTCCACATCCTGATAACCACGAGCTCATGGGAGCAAGAGTTAAGGGGCTTAGTGTGCTAATATGTTGAAAAAAAAAATAGTGAAATTTAACCTCTGCCTTCTTATGTAGGTGTGCTGCTTCGGTATCTTAAGCGGTTTTCTTTCTGTCTTTTATGTTAGAGCATGTTTTTCTCTCAGACCACGTGGCTTTCTTGCAGATGTTCCTAGGACAAAAGGTTATTTAAGGAATATTTTTACTCTGATTTTTAAGACACTTTAAAGACTGTCCTTACTCTGTGACTTTTTAAAAATAACACCCAGTGGCAGAGTCATTTCACTGTTGCACACTTGCGTGTGTTAGAGAATGAATTTGGAGACTTTAGTACTTTGGCCAAAAATGCGAAACTTGAACGTATGTTGCAGTTGGATTATTATCTTTCATGATGGTTAACTTTAGAGTCGTGAACTTTGTAATGAGGGGGATAAAGATTATTCTATTTGCTTTAGTGGGTTTTCGGGTATCCAATTTTAACAACAAGGTTCGTGTTCATCTAGTAACAAAAGACCTCTCAGTGTTTCCACCATGCACTTCTGTTTTTAGGGGTTTGTAACTTTTAAGTCCTACATTCCTAGTAACATTTGGACTTTTCTTAGATTATGTTTCGTGAAGATGGGGGGGCGGGGGGGGTCTTTTAAAACTTTAGCCTCGGTATTTTATGTAACTTGGTGTCTTTAATATGTTAATCTGCACTAACATCTCCGTGATACACACTCATTCTTTAGAGGTAATCCTGTCTTCTAGGTGACTTGTGTGCATTTGGTTGCGATCCCTTTTTTTAAAATTAATTCATGAGATTGAAAAAGGTCTTCTATATTTCTAATGGACTAGACAGAAGGATCTGTGTCCCCGAGTGAGACAGGCTCTGAATGACCTTTGTTTTCTCCACTTTTTATTGATGACTGAAAACACTCTGGTCTTCCCCTCCAATCATGCAAGCATGCAGGAGGACAGCTGTGGTGTCTCAACTGGAAATAGGTGCTCAATAGGCTTGATTGTGACATCAGGACCGGGTCACAAGCTAGAAGCCGACAGTGACTAGCCATTGGCACCACCCTTGACTCAACTCCCGTTTCTCCCTCTAGCGTGCCTATGGTGAAGTGGCAAGAGCGTCACTCACGGTCTTGTTTGCAGTGCTCAGGAAGTGGGAAGTTCACTGGCAAGGTGCTTGTTCGTGGTACCTGATTTCTCTTAGCTCTTAGGTTTACCTCTGGAACATGGATCTCGGCTGCTATGCTGACTGACACTACATTCTTACCATTCTGTATTTCCAGACGTCCCTTCCCCAACGTCCACAGCTAGAAATGGGTAGCTTGGATCTTAAATCCATAACTTGCTGCTGCTTTTAGCTCTCCCCATCTCAGATTGGAATCAATGGAGCGGCCCCCCCAGGACGCACGTCAATTTCAGCCATAGTAGGTTTGTCCCGCTTTCTGAAACATCTCTCCCTTTCATAGCCCCACCCCCTATGGCGTCCCTGAAGGGAAATTAATGGGTGTGCCCTTTAGGGAGGTAAAGGTGGGAGTGTTTCCCTCTGGAAGAAGAGTGGTTGATTTCCCCACCAAGGAGCTTGGATACTGTCCCCCTCCCCCCTGCCACGGTAATTGGTTTGCTCCATTTCAATTCTCAGTTCGTACTTATCCTTGGCCCAAGTTGAAAGAGCATTTTTTACAGGTAACAAGTCAAGGTGGAATTTGAGGTTATAATCCAGTAAACGACACTTGTGAATGTGGTCCGCTAGACTGAACTTGATGCCTTTAAAAAAAAAAAAGTTTCTTCTTTTATCCATGAACATACAAGTATCGAGTGGATTTTGGCTGACTGGTTGGGAGGAGGTGCTTTTCTTTAAACCCATTTAGGAGATGCTTTGAGAGTAGTAGGTAGTCGAGGGCAGAATTTACCAGGAGCAAGGAAAGCTTTTTATAAAAGATCATGTGGCCATCGTTGCTGTTCTAAAGAGTGGGGGGTTGGATTTGACCAGTTCTTTCTGTTCCTGCATCACCAGTAGCTGCACAGTGAAGAAACTGTCCCCTTAGGAGTTTGGGAATAGCAAAACCTGGGCTCTGCTCTTACATGGCAGTCAGATAACTTCAGCAGAACAAGTTAATAGACGTTTCCTGCCACAGGATAGGGAAGATATAACAAGCTGTTTGCTCTTGGGGTCAGAAAATGGTCCTCTCTGTGCATAGAGCTAGGTTTATTAGAAAAGGGACTTAGTTTGAATATTGGGACATCAAGCTATCTATAGCCAAGTTTCGCTCTGCAACCCATTCTCCCTTCATCTTGGGATAAACTTGATACAAAATGACTCTCTGAATCCCAAATCCCTAAATTACACCTTTTTCAAAGCCTAATTCACAAAATTCACAGTGGTGCTGACTGTATTAACCACTATTGGGAAAAGTCCTGTCAACCTGCCTGTTGCCATGCCAATGGGGGGACTGAGCTGGTGACATCTGTCTGAGCTGGTGGAATGCCACCGTTGTGCATACACTTTGTACATCAGGGGTGAAGGGAGGGTTTTCTAGATTTATGGGGGGAGGGTAAAATTGGGTTGGTTTGTTTGTTTTTTGGTTGTTTCTTTTTCAATGGGTGTAGGGGTATAGTACTCAGCTTATGCCCTAAATAACATGTATAAACCCCAACCCCCCCGAAGTATTGTGTGGGTGTGTGTGTGTGAGTGTGTGTGTGTTTGTATATGTCTGGCAGTAAACTTCTGTCTTCGGGAAATTAGTGAATTCTTCTTTTCCTCCAGAAGTATTTGTTAAAAGATTTGTAAATAAGAGCTCTTAAGTAGCGTTTGTTTACCATGAACATGTTGCAGCAAACCTTATACACCTAATTCAAGCAAGATTTAAAGAAAGACTTGACTTGCCAGGTTAAGCAGCAGCCAACTTCTCAGTAATTGTTTGCCTCGATTCATCTTTCAGACTTCGTTTTGGCTATCTCTAAAACTCCCAGTCTTCCTTGATTTTAGTTCTTAATCTTCTGTGTTCTGAACAGGAAGGATTATAGAGAGGAACCTGTTTAAATGTATTTAATTAGTCCATGGGCTGAGACGGGGCGGGGGCATCCCTTTCTTAATACGACAGTGTTGCTGGGTCCATGATCAGACGCCAGGGGACGGGCATCCTTGTGATACCTTCACGGTGCTGACATCTGCAGCATGGTACTAAGGAAGTTCAAGTTTGAATGTAACCACTTTATTTAAAAGATTTTTTTAATTTAAATGAAATGAGGTTGAAGTGAACATGATTTTGTTGACCATGTTCGTGAATTATAGATGCAACGTGCATTGGTAGACTTGTGTGATGGTCTTTTGTGACACTTAATTTTTACATATCCCAGTCTCTGTATGTATCTGCATAGACAAAGAAAAAACAAACTCCTGCTTTCTTTTACTGAAGGGTCTCCAGGACTGCGTGTCTGCTCCTGAGCTCTGTTTTGAGTATGTGTATCCTTTGCTTGTATTTTGTATTAAAAAAAATAAGAAAAAGAACCCTTTATTGTTGAGCATGTTGGCATTGTCCCCTTTATTTTTTTTTTTTTTTTCTTTTTGGGACATATGAAGCAAGTTATTCTTTTTCTGTATCTTTTTTTTTTCTTTTGTAAACTTTTTGTTTTGTTTTGTTTAAAAATGGCTTTATAAAAGGGCTTTTATAACCCAGATGTGTGCTCTGTGTACTTCTTACAACACTCTCTAGCCAACACACTGATGATACAGTGATGACCTTGACCTGTCAGCTCCCAGTCCACCCTGACTTTAGGGGGGAAACTACTTCCTGAATGAATTCTTTAGAAACTAACAGTGACTATCACTGTTGTTGGTGACAAGAAAGGCATGTCTTGGGGCGCCTGGGTGGCTCAGTCGTTAAGCATCTGCCTTTGGTTCAGGTCATAAACCCAGGGTCCTGGGATCGAGCCCCGCATTGGGCTCCCTGCTTGCTGGGAAGCCTGCTTCTCTCCCATTCCCCCTGCTTGTGTTCTCTCTCTCGCCATTTCTGTCAAATAAATAAAAATCTTTTAAAAGGGGTGGGGGGCATGTCTTGTCTCAAAAGTCAAAAGGAGTAATTAATTACTTAAAGAGTGTGGAATGAATAGGGAGCACTGGACTGGGTGTACGAGGTTTCCTAGTTAGCATTTTTTCCTCATGTTCACATCCAAGGTTATGAAGTTGTGGAAGGCAAAATTCTTTAACAATAATATATGGAAGAAGATAATATTTATACTCAAAAATCAGACATTGTGTCAATTTCAGATTGAACTACACTAACCTGCAACTTAGAGCTAAATATTACTTAGATACATGGTTTATGATCCCGCTTTAGAATTGGGCTGATATTCTAGCTATTGGGGTTTTAATTCTTTTCAACCTTTCCCCTTGTTTACATTCTTACCTTGTCATCTAAATATTGTAATTAACATACCAACTCAGCTTGGCTTTGAAATTAAATGTTTT